GCACATACCTTAAACACTTAAAGCTGTAAGCTAATGATAGTTATATAAGAGCAGATGCTGCTGGTGCAATAAGCTGTACGTTTTACGTTCAATGGATCTGATTAGTCGACTAATCGCAAAAATAATCGGTGACTAGTCGACTATCAAAATAATCGTTTGTGGCAGCCCTAATGGTGTACTTCATAAAGTGGCTGGTGTGTGTTTTTTTTAATCATCCTAATTATACACATTAATATCTAGACACACTACCCCTTTAAACTGAATATGCGTGGCGTCATGGGCGCCAAAGGCTCACTGACTGGCACGGGGCACAACAGCTGGCCCATGTGACTTCATTGGACATAAGAGGTGAGACAGCCCAATTTTCGGAAAATCTCAGTGTTGGCTATGACAGGAAGTTGTCAGAACACACATGCATCATCTTGCTGTGTACATCTGGGCTGTCCACTGCCTGAGGCACCTGTGACAGACACATACGCATCAGAACTGGACCATGGTTCATCCTTCAGATTCAATACTTATTTTCCTCTTGCATCAAAATGCTGAATAAATAAACACACATAATTTATCTTATGTCTCCAACTAGAACCAATATCATGGGAACCTTGGCAGAAATGGAAACAAACTCCAGGAAGAGACCCCTGTGGACGCTGAACAAATGTTTAGTTAACGTATAGAGAAGTTTTCCTCTCAGCCGTTCTGTTTCCACTTTTCTTTTCCATTACAGTATCAAAGATATTTAGCTCTATATATAACACAGAGACAAAGAAACAAAGGGTTCTTTAACAGTTGGTCTAAAATTTTGTTTTGTCTTATGCAAAGATTATTTATGAGTCACTGAACATTAAGCTCCTTCAGTGACAAGGCATGAGTCAGATATGTGCACACAGGGACGGTAACACTCATAATGACCATAGAAATACAAACACACAAACAGATTACAACGAATACAAATATGGACATGAAATATCATTTCTTTGGTATCTAAACTGGATTAACCACTGTGAAAAATCCTGTCAAAGTATATTAATAAACCATAAGAATAATTCAATTAAATAATACATGTTATCACTCACAGCAGATTCCAGTGCTTTATGTTAATCACCAATTTGTCATACGTGCTAGACACGATGTATATATACACAAGAGCATAGAAGGTAAAGTAAATAGAAATTAAAATAAAATTGCAACTGGAGTTTCTTATGATCTGTAATCAATTCAAGTGCATGCATAACTAAGTCAGAAATACTATGACAAACACACATAGAACAGCAACATGGAAAACGTTCAAATTCCCAGTGACGTTCAGCTGATAGTAGACATAGTATCAAAACAACTGCATCAATCCTGAACAACTAGTTTTATGCAAGTCTTTCATGATGAACTAAACAGGGCCTTCCAACGGGGTGCAAAAAAGGCCTTTGGGCAACTTTTATCCAACCCCTCCATCCCCATAAGTCAGTCTCATGTGTCATCAGTGTTTGCACACAGTTCAGCCAAATCAGAAACTGATGACTGACTGATAAGGACACATCACGCCAAGACCGTTCAGAGAATATGGGCAGGCCACAGGCAGATTAATTAATCTGCTATGATTTGAGGGCCAACAAGGGGACCAGTGTTGTCGAGCTCAAAGCGAGCAGTTGCCATTTAAATGATCAATAAGATGAGTGGGTTTCCGTGACTATTGTGGCTCATGCTCAAGTGCATCCAATCCATACTAATTAGTTACATTAAGTTAAAACTGATTCCGGTGGTGTTGGGCTCCAGAGTGCAAAAAAAATAAAAAAATCTGTACAGAGTCTAAAGCTTTTCATTGGTTGCCTGACATGTAGCACGTCTGTGTGCATAGCTTTTTTCTGCGTTCCATTGCAGAACACTAAATGTTTGCTCTGTGTGTTGCTGCAGCTGATTCTTTTATTCATTTCTGCTGCTCAGAGTGCGATCAACACCCACTAGCTGATCTGTAAAATTGCACTCCTGTTTCATGCACTTTGACTCACAAGTGTGGCTAAAATTGAACCGCTGGCGTTTGGTGTTCGATTCCTGCGTAATAATATCGAGTACTGATTGTATTTGTGACGTTTGTTCATATCCCTTTTAAACATTGTACCTAATTAGAGACAGGTCATCATGTTCTAACATTGTCTATGAACAAAGTGTGATTATATTTGGAAGAGTGAAGCCAGTTGCTCCACTAAATACGAATGCAAGTAATATTTAATAAACCTAGTTAGAGGTCCTTGCAGCACAACACAAAAGTTATTATTGTGGCACCAAAGACTATGGTTTGCTTCTCAAATTAACTGCTCGCACACCTAAATGCAATATTTTTCTGAAGCCCAGCAGTAACATCTTTGCTTTAGTTACAATTACTTTATGTCACAACAGAATCAGTCTCACAGCTTATCCCTTTTTCTTTTCCCACAGTGGATTTCACATCCCTGAAGTAGCAACATTGGTGGTCCAGGGTAGGAAATGCAGATGGTGCTCTCTCTAACTATTCATCTTTGTCATCATTTAGAAACATCAAATAGGACCCTAAACATGATGTATGTGTGTATATATTTCTGTGTGTGTTTGTGATTTTGAGAGCGAGTGTCCATGATTTTAAAACGTATGTAGTGAGCACTGCATAAGAAATGCTAGATATAACATCCTACTCTAAGAGACTTCTTAGAGTCTCTTAGAACTGAATTTTTTGACCTTTTTGTCCTTTATACCCAAAACACAAGCAGTCATCAACTTTGTCCCAAGGTGAGGGTGTCACACGGGTTGTTCTGATTGATTACATTAAGATCTTTAGAATCAGAATACATTATTGATACCTGGGGGAAATTATATAATGCTGCTAATTATGTTATGTTGTGCTAAATTTTGTTATATGAGATAGGTGACACAGAATGCCTTGCTATAGGATCATTTCACAGCAACATACTGTATATACCCAACACCTTCATGCTTGGACTTGGGCATGCTTTGAAATTAAATTAACAGATGGATATTTCTGACTGCTGAACTGAGAGTGTGATGTATATATGCATTTATAGAGATGCTAGTTTATCTTATCTCCTTAACTGCTCTCTCCCCACCCAAGTTATTCAGCAACAAAAATGTGAAAGAGACAAAAAAAAAAAATGGAAAAGACACAGGTCTGGTGGAATTTTCTACTACTAAACTAATCTAAAGAGGTCTTTAATAATCTGAGTTTATCCCTTTGCTGGGGACCAAACTGACTTCGGAAAAACCCCCAAAAAAACCCAAAGTCCATTGACACACAAAAGCCAGAACTCCACTACTATGAAAAACACAGAAATTTCATCCTTAGGTTTCACAATTTTCAATATCTGGCAATATGTTAACATTCCAAAAGTCATTATGTTGTCCACAGTAAACTGTGTGACAGCCCTAATGGGCCTATTGTATACAACAAGTTATTTCAGTGTAAAAAGAAAAGGGTCATCCATGTGTATGTGTATATTTATATGAGTGTGTGCAATGGATTCTGCAAAATGATGTCTTTACTAACCCAGACGTGTAAGGGGCAGTGTTTACATCTGTAAGACAAACTGAACTTTGAGAGAAACATCAAATGGAAACATTAGCAGCAGCACTGACAACAAACTAACTTACCTGGTTCGGCGTTCTTGCAGCAGGCTTGTCCTGATGATTTGCAAGGATGAGGAAAGGTAGTGTGCAGAGCTGTGGGTGTTGCAGAGCCGAGTGGAGCTCATTACGTGCCGCCTCCAGGTCCTCATCTGATGATGCGCTATCCAGTACGAAGACTACACCCTGTGATCCTTGGTAGTAACGACTCCAATACTTCTTGATGTTGTCAGCTCCTGTGGACGGATGTGATGCTATTAAATTTAGCCACTGTTAGAGCTCTATATTAGAAAGTATGACACTTGTAATTGTTGTGTTTGTAAATTAACTTTAATGAAAAGAAAATATACATAACACTCAAATATATAAATTATGGATTAAGGAATCTGTTTGGTGTAAAACCAAAACAACCAAAGAGATGCTGACAACACGACTCAGACATGACCGCCACCTTCCTCTGCTTCCATTCTAATTTTCACTCACAGCAAAGGTTGCAGTTGTAAAAACAAATTTGAGAAAAGACATTAATAATTAGTTAATAACAAAATAAACACACACAAAAGCTTTTAATGTAACCTTAGTGTTTCAACCATAGTATCCTATTACAGTATCATGCTCAAATTCATTGACCTCTTTAGAATGCCCCATTCCTCCACAGATGTCTCTAAAGGCCTACTGCATGGTTAGGTGCTAGATTTATTACACCTGAGGCAAAGGGATTGAAAACAGACAGAGAGGTATGGCCCATTACGTTTGTCCATACAGTGCAGAGCATTGTACGGCCCTCAGGTCACATCCGGCTCTTTGACTGTCCCTGAGCGGCCCATGTGAGATCAATAGGAAACTAGGATGCAAACATAGATAAGTATACGTCACCCAGTTTGTCCCATTTCAGCCACCAAACACTTTGATAAAATCCTCATCAGTGAATGGCTTAATAATTTTGCTATGTTTTGGATATCACAATACAGCTTTGTTGCTTTATTTTGGAGGTCAATGCTATTTTTTTTTTTAATTTACATATATTCGTGTGCAAGTGACTGCAGCTTCACTGTAAATGCATTGGACCAGATGTTTCACAGCTGCAAGTTATACTAGCTCTGAAAGACATCAGCTCACATTAAAGAAAAATTGATGAAGAACGTAGAGTTTTTCCACAAGACCTGGACTTCTAAATATTTATTTACTGAAGTCTGAGTTAAAGCTGGGTGCTTACTTGGTAGAGGGCGGATTGCTGTTATTAAATATTACAGTTTAAAATGTCATTAGGAGACTAAACACAGAAAAAAAACAAAAAAACAAAAACAAAACCAAACAAATTATTGATGCAGAACAGGAACTGACATCTGATCCTTTGCTAGCAAAGTTGCAAAAGCAACAAGGAAAAAGCTTGGTTCATCCCTGGATGGGGCTTGGTCCATCAAGACCAGCTTAGTGATTCGGGACAACAACAGGAAGTGATTTGTTCACCTGGATATTCTGGGGCTCAAAATGGGACAAACTGGCAATGGCTGTCCAAATCTGACAGTGAAAAATGTTCCAACTTTTAAGATGAACCCAGAACTGAAATTCAGATTTTTGCAATGTATTACACCTCAGGAGGTGTTGTGAAAGTCAGTTCTAAAATGAATGTTGTTGATGTAGTATCAGTGCAACTTCATCAGTGCAAGACAGACAGTTTGTTCCACTTCTGGAGGATCATGAGACTGAACATAGTGACATAGACTACCACACAGCTGACAGAGGGTTCAGCCTGGGTAAATTGCTAAAAAGAAATGGGATCCGAGGACGCAATTTTGAGAGCTTTGTGAGAATGTAGGTAAAGCTTCCAGAGCTCTCAGATGCAGAATAGAAGGCAGATCTTCAATTTACTAGACACTCAATGTGAATTCAATACACTTGTTCAAGTCCAAAACAGACTAGATTTCTATAACTGAATAAGAAAAATGAACTAACTAAACTACAAACAAAACAGCAACAGCACTTTGCATAAAGTTAAGTCTGAAATTTAGTAGAAACTGCACATACTCATTAAACAGCGATAAAATGCTGGTACTTTTGTCTTTTTCACATTTTCATTGACTAATTCTAAAATCTACAGTGATAGTAGTTTGTAAAATTAAATCAATATTAATAAATTAACACTGAGCAGAACTGCAGCTTACTGGTGTAACCCTGCACAACAGCCCCAGTTTCCCATTGGGAAAATTAACTTCCCACTCTAGAAATAGTTTAAAGGTCATTTGTCATCTTTGCTTACTTTTAAATGAACATGTTAAATAAATGGTTAATGTCCTTAATTACAGCACCAACTGTTGGACGTCCGCTATGAAAAATAATTCCTAATCACTGCCACAAAATATCATCATCAACATGCTTGTCAGTTAGAGAATCATCTTCAATAACAAGAAGGACAAGCGAGTCCTGCAACAGATGGCATGGCCACCACTGAGTCCTGTTCTCAACATCACTGAGTCAATCTGAAATTATAAGAAGAGAAGCAGCAATTGAGATCACCTAAATCCACCAAACAACTGTGGCAGGTTCTCCCTGATTCTTGGATCATCTTACCTACATCACTTCTTCAAGGCAAACTTGCACTTTTTCCCCAATAGGAACTGGTGAATTTTAAAACAGGGGGTAGCATACAATTCTTTTCATCTTTAACGCAAACTGTATAAATGGAAAGTCTGAGTATAGGTGTTATATGATTGTATCTATGGGAGTGTCTTTTCAGACATGTAATCATTTATGATTTAAATATTCATTTTCAGCTAATAACTTCTGTCTGTTTATTTCCTGGGACTTTTTCTGATGGGCTACTTTAGGGGAAAAAGGTTGGTTTACAATCTTCACTGAACAAACCCCTGCCAAAAATAACCTCAAACAGCAGTGTCCACCCCACAAACAAGAATCAACCTGTTATGTATTAAGAGCTGCAACACAAAGTCTGGTCAAATCTCTGAACCTCTCTTTTGCAAACCCATCTACACTACTTGAATGTACCTTTGTAATTACAGCAAGTCTAATTGGTGTTATTTATGGCAAATCTCACCATGGGTGGGACGGTGTTGCAGTAGTTACCACTATTGCCTCACAGCAAAGAAAACCCCAAAAAAACCCAAACCCATGCGTTTTAGGTTAAACTGTGATTCTAAATCGAGCATAGAGGAGAGGCAAATAATGTGCCTAAAGGCACAGAACAAAGCATTGTATGAATGTATGGTAACATGTGGCTAGGAATCAAAAGACTAGAAAAGCACTGTATGAATGCCATTCCATGTGCATCATTTTTTACTCTAACAACACTTTTCTTAAAGTCAGTAAGGAATAACCAATAACTGTGATATCTTGGCAATATTCTTTCATTTCTTGGTCCTTCAGCATTAGGGGTCTTGTCTTATGAAATAAGAATAATTCATTTTAACTGATTGAATCCAAACTGAGAACAGCTGCTGATCCTCACGAGGAATGTATGAGGAGGAAAGTACACATTTCCAACAAAATTTTGAAACAAAAAGTTTAGTTTTACAAATTCAAAGTGCACATAAGGGTTGTTGTTTTTCCTAAACAAATCTTTCTTATATGAAATCTATAAAAAACTGAAGTTCCACCAACACTTTACTGCACATCACATTATAAAAAGAATAGCTGTTGTCTGGTTTCACACTTTTAAATGTATTCACTCAAATGATTACTGCCCACATGTTTTCTATTAACAGGTGCTAAATGTCTGTTTTACACGCTCAATAAAGTTGTTGTCTCTGTGTACACTATACACACAAGTATGTTCACTTGATTGTAGAAGATGTACTTTCTCTGGTTAAAATTATCCCTCTCCATCTGGTGAGGTTCCTTCCTTTGCAATCTTGTGAATTGTTATTTTGTTATAGTTGCTCATAGTAAGTTAATTGCCAAGAAGTGACGAACTGTGAGGCAGGCAAATGTTTAAAAATCACGAATTGCTCTCAGTGACATTTACCTCCTTTCTCTCATGCTCTCCTTCTCTTCTTTCCTTCCTTCCTCCCCCACTCTTTCTACTCACACCTCTCACTAGAGTGGAAAGCTATCAGACAAAGTGGCACTTGAGAGATTGACTAGGAAGCTTCTCTCAACTTTGCCTGGAAATGGTGGAATGTCTGTCATGTCTCGTCGGATCTTGTTGGCAGCTTCTGCCACCTATTGGTCTGTGAGCAGGATTTGCAAACATGATGTCATGATTCTTGGAGGAAGTTACTCATATGATTAATTTTTTAAAAGTGCACCATCGGTGCGCCAGACCATCTCTTTTGCTTGTTTTTCCTCTCTGTTTTTGACAACTTTCATGTATCGCTTTTATTTATATCCACCAAAAAGAACCTAGAATAATAATTTAAAAACACATTTTATAGTTTTAGACTGCAAGCAGACATAACAAGCTGGAAGTTGTATCACGAGAAGTTAAAAATAGCATGTCAGTAACAGTCATGGCTCCTAGTGAACTTGTCAAGTCTTGACTCATGAACTGGACTGCTTGTTGCCTCACTTATTCCATGTGTAAAACCTGACAAAAATAACATTAAAATGCCTGCCTCCAATATGACAGATTCCCTGCCTGAACATGACAAATTACATGGATAAACAATACATCTGAACAGAGTCCTTTTAATCAGCTAGTTGAAAGAATCTCACATAGCGCTGTCAAATCTTATGGTATGCTTTGTTGGGTGCTACAGAAGAAGAATTCACAGCTGAATACTATCACTTTTTCCTTTTTCAATTTTATTTGTGTTCCCTTGAATGCCTCCCATTTACTTCTAATTTAAGTTACAATTTGCATTTCTATGAATGTTCAACATCCTTTCTACTTGCCCTCACACTTATCTTTTGGTTCAGCTCTTATTCATTCAAATGTTCCCTTTCAGGAAGAGCTGATTGCACACTTGCTGACAGCAATAGAATTACATTTGCTAATGATCCAAGCTGTTGTGCCCAAACATCGTGTGTGACCAATGTTCATGCAAATAGATATGCAATGCACAGGGGAAAGTGTAATGTCTGCAATTTTCTGTTGTATAATTTACAAATCATAAATGCTAATCACCTGGCAGACACTCCAAGTTACCAGTGTTCCCTGAACACCTCATATGAAGCCAATTGGTTGTTATGAAAGCATAACAGACAGAAACAAGCACATAACGTTTAGGTTTTTAAAAGAGAATAGTCATAAGGATGCATTTAGTGAATGGCGTGCATG